CTACACCTCCATCACAATCTCCAACTCCGCGCGATGCAGATGGCAGCATTACACGCCGCATTCATTGCGCCTTCGATTATGATTTTGCTATAGGAAATGCTTAAATAATCGCAGTCGCAAATATTCCCACGAGTTTTTTCAGCTTTTTTCAGTTTTTTTTTTTTTTTTTTTGGTAGCAGCTATCTACTTCCAGACATCAGCAGCGTCTGATTGTCTGCTACATGAACGAATCCGCATTGGATTCTATTAAAAGTGCCGGTAATCATCAGAAGCGACGCTGGTAATCACCGCCAATTCCCAAAACGAAAGACTGCAACAACGAACTTGCCGTGCATGCTTAACTTAACGTGATTTTAATAGCGAGCGGTTCTGCATTTCATATTCCTTCTTCACCATCAAGCACAAATAAATGTGTATAGTTATGTATATAGACAGTACATTGGCTCATGCAAATGACATTGAACATATTTGATACCCTGTAAACATTAACGTGAGCTATAATTTGAATAGAACTCTAACAAGACTATGTAAATCTCTATTAAAAGATGAAATAATAATTTTAGGCGTTCAACACATCATTTATTAATAATTTTAATATAGTTTATCCATGATGTTTATCAGTTTTCAAATTTAGTTATCTGCAGATTTCAGAGATTAAAGAAGGAATTTTCTATACACGTTGAAAAAGAAGCTGAAAATGTATTAATATTATTATTATTATTATGGTATAGTTACTATTAGCCGTCATTAATATTCTTCAACTATAAGTTCAGCGTTTAGTTTAAATAATTGTAGGCTTTGAAACAGGGTAACTTGTAATCACACAACTTACAACTTTATAATAAGGGGAATTTTATTATTATAATTGATTGCTTCATTTAACTTTAAGTATTTGCAATTAAAAATTTTTTATTGAGTATTTTAGTCATCATTATGTTTATAAACGGGCTGAGTTAGAACTGCAAAATATTTTCTAAGTGGAGATGGGTGTGGCTTGGGATTTCCGTGGCAGTCACGAGCTCAGATTTGATCAGAGCTCGCTTTATCTTTTAGCTTAGTTTAGATAGAATAAAATTCCTACCATTAAATTCTTTAATTTTTAAGTGCGAATTTTAGCAACTCACAACAGTTCAAGGATATGTACCACACACAAAATGCAGCGCAGCATTGAGGACCCGAGTTTATTTAGATAATAAGAAAATTATTTGGCAATTTGCAGGCAAGCTCATTGCCACAATTAATTCATTTCATCAACACAGAGCATTGCAGCTGCATATCTTTAAAGGCGAGCCAGATAGTTGGATGCTAGTGCACATTGGGAAACAACCTTAAAAGGTCGTTTTGCCATTTAACAGCAAAGTGTCAAATCATCGCCATAGCAGTTAAGGAGCCATAAACTAACCTATATTTAACCCCAAACTATCCATCAAAGTACATCGAATGAGGGCTTCTGTTTTTCTTGTTGCTCTTGCAATCGAATGCGAGACAGCGAAGCCTTTTGTAAAATTGAAAAACAATTTAAGTCCCGTTAATTTTAACACCCATTTTCTATGCCAGCGGCTTAGCTAAGATTGCCAAACAGAATCTCGAATGAAAAAAATAAGGCGCAACGCTGGCATCGTATACAAAAGCGAGAAGCAGCCGAAATACGTAATGCAAGCGATAATTATTACCTGCAGGCCTCAAAGACCCTACAGACCCAGAGAGATAGAGACAGAGAGAGACAGATAGAGGGAGATCCCCCAAAAATAAAAAATAAAAAATGCAAAAATAATAGTAGCGAGAAGCTGCCGCAGTGTAGATGATTTAAAAGTAACAAAGATTTGCATAGAAACGTGCGATTTTCGGTGTGCTGCCAGCGGCACATGTTGGCCTCCATCTGGTAGATACCCTTTGTATCTGCCACTGGAACATTGCAACCACACACAGCAGCAGCAGTAGCTGCAGCAGCAGTCGGCATCGTTTGTCGCGCCTGCTGTCAACATGTTCAGACCTCAGTCACAGCATGAGAACAATAAAAACAACGAATTTGTATTCGCTCTACCGTTGGTTTCTTCTGCTACTGCCTTCAATTATTCATCATTCATGCCGTCATTTCCATAGCAGCAAGAGGCAACTCGTGGATTTCTAGCTCTCTCAGTGGCAATTTGTTGATTTTATAGTTGAATTTTCAGCAGCTTCTTCAACTAATTGCAAATAATTGCAATTAATCTAATTAATATTTTGGCGAACAAAAGGTCTTTAGGTTTGTTCATCCATTGTTGTTCCTCCTGGTTTTGGTATTTATAATGTAATGCCCTCATTTGTTATGTGTGTATGTGGGCTCATTTTTAACATACGACAAACATTTTTTATATTTGCGAATTTCGTAGACCCAAAAATGCTTGGGTTTTGTTCTGGCCGAAAAATGTCAAGATCAAAGCTTAATGATAAGAAGACAGCTTGATTAATTAACTTGTTATAAACGACACACATTTGAGTGCTTTAAATTTAAATAAACCAGATTCTTCAAAATCGGAATGAATCATATATAATATAGATAATAATTGCTGAAAACTAGGTTGAATTTCGATATTAACTAAATTTGCATATAAATAATGTATAAATTAAGCTTAGAATAAATTTTTTAACATAAATTAAACAAACACTCGTATAAATTATATAGAAATAGATTTATTAAAAGTCTTTTTAAATGAATAGATATTAAAACATTTTTTAAAGGTAATTCCTTTTACATATCGGAAAAAAATCCGAAATTCGAATTTTATACTCGAAATCAGATCCTATCTATTAACCAAACCAATAAATTTAGTGTTCATCACATCATTAATTTCAGATCCAAGCTAACTCGAACCAGCCTCTCTCATCCAATGAGAATGTCAATGTGTAAATTTCTAGAAAAACGAGTCAAATAAATTTCGACAACAATTGAAACAAATGATCGCAAAATAATGTTAAACAAGTCGCAATTGAAAGTGGCAGGCAAACATTTGCAAATTATCAAACAATCGTGTGCTAATGATGTAGGATCTTTGTCGTAGTTGGCTATACGAATATATTGAATTCAAAAGACAGACACGGCGACTTAATATGCCTGGCTAATGGCTACTCAATTCCAGGCTAACAACAGCGACAACAAAAATGTATCTTTTATTGAGCATTTTACAAAACTGCACATCAAACCGCAGGGCCTGAACACTGACCCTGCACAAACTCCAACTCTGGCCACGAATCACGAAGCAGCCGCCAGTCAAAAAAAAAAAATGAAAAAACTATTTATGCAAGTTCGGTGTAGAGTTGCCAACTAGCTGGTAGCACAGCGAATCCATCATTATCGAACGACATAAGTTTTTTGTTTCTGTGATGGGATCGCAGACGTCGCAGAGGATTATTGCCAGGAACTATACATTATAACTTGATCGCAGAAAAATCATTTATTGTGACACGATCATCAATTGTAAATTGTGTTTATCAATGCAATAAATCTCCAAATTGCCAACTTGTTCAGTCTGATATTTCTTGACGATTGGCTGCGGCTATCAGCGCATCTCGTTGCCAAGTTGGGGGATCTTATTATATTGTAAGTATAGGAGTTAAACTCATCTCTTCTCTTCTTTTGTGTAATAAGTTTTATATTACCATTTTATAATTTGCCTGGGAACCTGCTATAATTTCCCCATATTTCCTCTTTTTTTGGTTGTTAAGCATATAACTAAAACAAAGACAGATAAAGCTAAGCTTATTTTATCACAGCTCTGGGATGATTTTTAACGCTTCTTTTATAATTTATGTACTATCTAATTTTATAGAAAGTTTCTAAACCCTCAATCTACTACAAATCTTTGATAATTCGTATACATTTAAAGGTTAACTGTCACTAATATAAAGGTGTTGGGCGGAAGGAAAGTATTTAACTTTATAAATAAACATAGGTATATCCGAAAAATCAAAATAAAAATTGGTTCAAATATTATTTATTATCGTTGATAAAACTAATGTTAAATAAAAGGATTAAAAATTATAAAATAATTTATAAAATAAAATAAATATACTATATCTATTAAGGTATTTAATATTCTCAAGTCCAATTCATCTTCTGATGCCGATCATATAGATAAAGGCCGCAAACAAAAAATAATTTTCTCTGCAAGTTTTCACATTTTATATCTAAAGATTATAAATAAACTAAACATGCAGTATTTTGCTTGCAATCTTATTTCAAAATAGTATGAAATAATATCAAAATCAAAAGTAAAGTTATCTTAACTAAGAAATGTAGCACGCATGATTTGTTTCCAAATGTAAGTCCCTTTGGACTTCTTTCGAGATAAGCACTAAATGTTGCATTTATTAACTAAATAGGTACCTTGATAATTAATTGTGTGATAAATGGGAATAATAAAAGAATATACTCAAATATCTAGTTGCTCTACAACCATCTACAATGATGAAAGAAATACTAGAGCAGAATATCAACAATATGTATGTACGTATAAACAGCCAAAGTGCAATTGTTGGTATAATAAAGATAACGATGCTTCAGTAAAATATGTATATGGAAAGCTAATTACTTTTACAACGTTGACAGCAACGAAAAAATCTTTAATTTTCACACAATGAGATTGCCTTTTGTGTGATTACAACCCAACTACACTTTACAGTCTACACACGACTCACTTATCTCTTGACAGTTTGGGTATTTGTCTATATAATTCAGAATAAATTCTCGATTCTATTTATTTTTCGCTGCGTTGCTTTTAAGGAAAATTAAAGAAATTCCCCAACACCCACTCAAAATGCTCACGTTCAACCGATAAACCCTGTTCGAGCTAAGTATATCAGTCGGTAGTCAAAAAGTCAACCGCTATAACTAAAATTTATATACTTACGCACGTATCTAATCTTCGCAATACTTTTTATGGGGCGCTTATAACGACAAGAGGTCGAGATTTTACTATAAAAGCAAATGAGAAACGCATTCAGAACGTTCAGTAGGCACACGACCGTAGAGCATTGCATATTAATTAGTTAGTGCTGAAAAACGGTTAAATCAAAACCAAAATGGTTCACAGTGTTGGCGAGCAAAAGATGAGTGTGTTTAGTGCGCGTTATCGCTGGCAGATCATAGCCACCATGACAGGTGAATACTCTGGGAGATTTATATATGGATGTGCTTCCTGCATTATAAGAACTTGATCTGATAAATAGTGCACATCATGACCTTGACACACGGCATTGGTGTGGGCTGGTTGGCGCCATCGCTTCCACTGCTGGGCGCCGAGCTGTCGCCGCTCGACAGACCCATTAGTATCGAAGAGGCCTCCTGGGTAGGCTCCTTGATCGGCCTGGGCGCGCTCGCGGGCAACATAATCTTTGGGCTGCTGGTGGATCGTTTGGGTCGCAAAATGAGCATGTACTTTCTGGCCATACCCAATATGGTAAATAAACTCTTATATTCATCTTGGTGTAGCACCATGACTAAAGAACTTCCAAAAACGTAGACCTATTGGATTCTTATCTATACGGCACAAGATGTGACGTATCTATATGCGGGTCGTTTCCTAGCCGGCATTTCGGGTGGCGGCTGTTATGTGGTATTACCGATATTTGTTGCTGAAATCTCTGATAACAAGTAAGTGGGTGTTATAGATTAGGTTAAGCACGTAATTATGATTATATTTGCTGATTGTCTAATAAATTTAGATAGGAAGCGTTTTTAATAATTGTTATGCCATTACTTTGCGAAGTGTAAATTCAAGTGGATATTTCCGTTTCTTACTAAAATTTTAATAGTGTAAATAAGTTCTGTCAAACATATGCATTGGATATTAATGAGAACTTGTAATAAATTGTTGCTATAGGCAGTGCACATGTCAGTGCCATGGTAAACCGAAAGAATGATATATTATAACTAAACTGTAATGTTCTCAACTATCTCTATGTAATCTTTTCCCCTCTACAATTTCATTTTTGTTTGTAATACGATATCTGTTTTTTTTCTGGACTCTTCCAGCATACGTGGCGCACTATCTTCCATGGCCATGATGTATGTTAGCATTGGCATGATTATAGGATATATACTCACCACCTATCTCAGCTATTATCTGATGCCGTGCATAGCTATATTACTGCCAGTCGTTTATCTGCTGGCCATCTGGGGCTTATCTGAGACGCCACAGCACTTGCTGCGCAAGGGACGCAATGAGCAGGCCGAGAAATCGTATTACTTCTATAAAAATCTGCCAGCATCTAATCCAGATAATGAGTCAGCTCACAATGATGCAGCTAAAAAGGAGTTTGAGACATTCAAGCAACAAGTGCTGAAGGGTGGTGTGCAGCAAGACGTCGGCTGGAAAGATTTCTGTGAGTAGCTAGACAAACATAGTGATAATATCCGACCTTATTTGATTCTCTGAGTGCGTGTGTACCTTATGCTTACAGTTAATCTGCCTACCATGAAGATCTTTGCTTTGAACTTTACATTGCTCGTTTGCAATCAGCTGTCGGGCAGCTTTGCGTTCTTCAACTACACCTCGCACATCTTCAACGAGCTGGAGACACAAATGGCTGCGAATACCTGCACCATTATAGTGGGTGGTGTTCAGGTCTTGGGCATAATATGTGCCGTTATTTTGGTAGATCGTGTGGGTCGGCGGAAGCTGCTGCTTACATCCTTGGCGGGCATGGGTCTGGGTGAGCTAGGCATTGGACTGCTCAAGGAATTTGCCTCCAAGGAGTTTCTATCCGGAACCAATTGGTTGTCCTTGCTGCTCATGTGCTGGGTGGCCTATATTGCATCCCTGGGCGTTATACCGCTTATATTTGTTATTATTATTGAACAGCTGCCCGCCAAGGTGAGTTCCGATTAGATACGACGACCATATCATAGAGTAAATCTTATATTTGATCACAACAGATACGCTCTCTGGGCACTTCCATCTGCATGGCCACGTTGAGCACCTTCATCTTTGTCTCGCTCAAAATATATCCGATGATGATCTTTGGCCCCGGCCTGCCAGCCACCATGTATATGTCAGCCGGCGTTTGCGCCATCGGATTTATCATTTTGGGTCTATTTCTGCCGGAGACCAAAGGCAAACAGCTGACGCACTAATTGTTGACGCGTGTGAAATATGTTGATGATGACTTCAGCGACGACATCAATCCCAGCGACCACGCCAAACTGTCGCTTTTGTATGGGCGACTCATTGCATAAGTTAGGATTACCATTATGACTGTGTGTGTGTGTGTGTGTGTGTGTGTGTGTGTGTGTGTGTGTGTGTGTGTGTGTGTGTGTGTGTGTGTACGAATACGAATACGGTTACGAGTACTTGCTTGTCAAGATATCGCCGCCAAAGCAGCTCACTCAACAGCTTGCCACAAATAGCATGGGGGCATGGCTCATCCTGAACTCTTGAACTTAATTCAATTTTAGTTTTTGCGGCTTTTATGCTGTTGTTGTTGCTTGGCTCAGTTTCGCGCCCATTGTGTATGTGTGTGTATAGATGGACTGTATTTACTTTTGTTAAATATTTTTTAATTTTGTTCGGAGAAAGTTTGAGCGCTGTGATACGAGTACAAATTTAGCATAACCAAATCATTTAGCTATTGTTATATATATTTCGCTAGACTGTACAATTTGCGAATAATAAAATAAATTCGAGAGAAGAAATATTTAATCTGTTTTCTTGTTTGCAAAATTCATATATAGATAAAGTCGTGCTCATCAAATATAAAATCAAAGTCGACACAATTCGGAGACTCGAATTTTCACTGTCAAGTTTGAAAGTGCAATCCAATAATTTTAGACAAGCTTGCCTAATACCAAATAATTATTTTAAATCAAATGCAGTCTGCAGTTGATATGATACCATACCGGCAAGAAAACATTTTGGCAGCCGCTTTTTGCGATTATGAAATGATAAATGCGAAATAATGAATTCGCTTCAGTAAACAAACATAGACACATTAATTCCGAGAAATTATTTATTTTGGCTTTGTTTCAGCCGAAATGTAAAGGGATCTGCAAGTAAAAATGATCTCCGTAGATCTCAGCCCAGATCATAAGTGATGATAAATTAAACCCAAGCGTCCATACAAGACCCACAAAAGGCGCAATTAACCCCACTTTGCAGCTTGCATTTGGGCTTTCGGGAGTGCAATCCACTTAAGTGCAACAGCGTCTGCAAATGCCGCCTTCAAATGTAATTTCATAATTTTCACACGTTTTTCGAAACGTCAGCCGTTTTCACAGTTGCTGACAAGAGGAAATTAACCGCAATGATGAGAATTTGTAACAGTTTTTTCTGGGTTGCACTCGCGAGTGGCTTAAATGCAATTTCAGCTAATTGCGGGTGCTGATTGGATTGATAAGCGCATATATTGACCTAGTGCACACAACTCGTCCAACTCCCACTGCGGACGACTTGCCGGAAGCTAAAAATTAAATGAATCAGAGAGGTAACGAAGACTTAATACCCTCTCAGACATTTTGCTGCTAAGAAATGTATTCTATAATAACAAATAAGAAAATTTTAAAAAATAAATATGTATAATTAGCTATAAATAAATATAACTAGATAAGTATTAAAAATTATAATAATAAAATAATTACGTGTTCGTCCAAAATTTTTAAAATTCCTTAACAATATTTTGTATGAGCATATTTATTTATTTATTTATTTTATTTATTTAAATATGTTTAACCCTATTTAACAAGTCTTTTCAATAAGACCCAATTCGACGTGACCTGATTTAATAAAAACCTTTAAGCTGTTCGCCTGTATAACCTTTCGTTTCTATAACATATGAAATTTTCACCCGCTTAATTTTAATATATCTCTTTTCGAACCAAGCTGTAAACATACATTGCGGGCTAGTTTATTTCTGGTGCATAACAAAAATAATTAGTTATACTCTTAACGACAACATTATAATACTCTCAGTTAGGGCATTTCCGACACATTCACATTGTGTGTGGCCAAATGCAATTTCAATCGCCTTTGAAAATAAGAAAAGTGCCAAACAATTGCGGCTAATGCGAGCGATTTCTCATTGTTAGGAGCGTTTGATTTGTGGTTCCACAAATCCGATTGTTTACTCTAAATTGCTTAAAGAAAGTGCTGCGAGTGGCAGCAGCAGCAGCAGCAGCCGACTATTGTCTAAGCCCGGCCTATGCGCCCATTGACCATTAATAATAGACCAGTTGCAATGCAAACTGTCATACTTTGTATGTGTGTGTGTGGCAACAGTAGCAATATCCGCACCTTTCGCATATTTTTATATCATTTTATTATATTTGTTTCACCACTCACCCACTGATCTCCATTGATAACACTTCAGATTGCGAGAAAAATAATTTTGAATTTCACACAATTGCCAACAAAAATTGTTTCTCGATTTATTTATTGTGTCATTGCAAATATCGTATTAACTATTTATTATTAACGCTTTTTTTTGATGATGCGTCGTTTCTATTGTCCGCACTTCTCTGCTCGAAATCAATTTCTGCAATTGTAAAATATAACTTCGAATATTTATCTGCTCTAATTTCGGGGCTCTACGTTTTCGAAAGGGTGTTGTAAATAGAAGCCGGAGCTTATGGAATTACGCATTATTTTTATCGAATGTTATACAACCGTTTGAAATGTGCTTTCGTAAAGACTAGCTTTAGAAAGGTTTGCATAATTGCTGCGTAAATTAATTGTTAAAAATATATATATATAGCATTTTCACTGTAGTTACCTTATGTAATGAAGGTGCACGTTAGCATGGGACCTCGGGAAATTCAGATGTATCTGTATGTATGTATGTGCATATGTGTTCTTGTACATATGCTGGAGTGTATTTTCTATTATAGCATATTATCCGCAGCACATATACATGCATTCATTAATACACAAATACAAAAGTAGTTAACACTTATGTGACTTAAAACATGAAAACCTGAAAGACTAACTTGAATTTCTAAAAATCACATAATATGATACGCACTCATAGATATAGTTATAGATTATTAAATATAAATTCTTACTATATGTATGCAAAAGCTTCACACTCTTCTATTTTGCTAGCAACAATCTAAGAATTTCATAACCGTATTATGTTCAAAATACATCCAAACTTCCTTACTGTGCCAAGCAAAGGGTTGATTGAACTCTTAAAAGCCCTAGAAAGCAACATTTACATTTTATTTAAATGCAAACCAAAACAAAAGAAACTAAAAATAAAATCTAAAATATGCAAATATGCAAAGCAACTTTTTGGGGTTCACTTAAAATGCTCGGCTCAAAACTTATGCTGAATATGAAAAACTGGACGAGCTGACAAACAGCTACCGTTAAAATATGAAAAAATGAAAAAAAAAACACCGACTTAAAACTGGAAAAATTATTTTGTGAATGCACAAATAAATTAACCATGATTAATTGAAAGGTCAAGCGTTGAGCAGCGGCTGTGAAGTGCATGAAGACCAAGCTAAAAGCTGGAAGCTGTGAAGACTTCATCAAGGCAGTGTCTCAACTGAAACTTAAAAGCGCTGTGTTAATTGGCAATTGTTCGGATATGTCTCGCGGATGCGCAGCAAAAATAATTTGTCTGCTATGCCAAGGTGACCTTCAGTCAACCGTGGATAGACAGTCGGGATGGTACGGGTTTTGGCCATTGAAAGAACTAGACTTATAATTAATATAATGCCGACGACTGAAGTGCATAGAAAATTTAACTACAATTAACGCTGCGCCTCATTAAAACCTTTTATTATACTTTGTTTTTGAAAGGGCCGGAGAGTATATTGGTTTTGCACAATCTTTGTCAGTCTTTTCCTTTTCTAAATGCAAGCTTTTGAAATATTTTTCAAAAAAGTAAAAATTACAAAACGAATTTTGGGATAAATTGTAAGAATGACCTACAATACATTTATTAGTCCATATCCGCCATCGTACTATTGCGGAGTATCTTGCAGTCGAACCCTTTCAATTGCAACATTTTCACTTGTTATTTTATTATTTTCGTGTCGGCTGCTTTGTTAAGCGTCTGCCAATAATAATTAATATACTTAAGTTGATACCAGGCTCCAGCTGCCAAAAGGTCATTAAGTCACGACAGGTAGCCGAAAATAATTTCTTACAGAACCTCAACACAGATTTCCAAAATATAAATTTATTTTGGAACATTAATTAACTGCCAGACGCCAATTGCGCCATAAACATCGCGCTTATGGAATACTCCGATGCCGGTGTAGCATAAAATTAGCTATGATCAAAGAATGGTCAACGAAAGAATGGTCTAGAGGGCAAAAGCACCATTTGGATTGGTCAACAACTAATTAACTGGCTATAGCTTTCAATTTGATGGGTTTCTTTTCTCTTTTCTTTAATTCTTATTTATGTCTGCAACTGACAGCTTTATCGCTATGAAGATTCTTTAGAAAGAACAAAAAGTTAATATGAAATTAATACCTTGGCCAAATGCAAAAAATGGAAAGGAACCTCAGCGAGTGACGCAATTTGTTGTTTTTTAGCCATGACTTTGGGTTATGCAATCAGAGATATTATAGAATGATTGATGACTATGTGCTGTAAGGGAAATTCTTACGTATACAACCGAAAGTTAAATAGTTTTCATTTGGTAAAGAGAAGACGCTATAGTTACTTTCCCTATAAAAAGTGAAGATTTGAGCAATATAAAAAATAAAAAAAAATAAATAAAAATAATAAAGGGAGCGCAGTAAAGTAAATATATTTGTAATAAAATAATAATTTTATATAACACATTTGCTAGAAGACAATTCTATTTAAAATTTATATTTCTTTTAAAACCCAAAAAAGCATTCATGAAAGGCTTACTTAGTTATAAACCCAAATAGAATTTTTAACTATTCTTTGTGTCGGATTCTTAAACGTTTTATTGATAGCATCTATTGGGTACTTTAATTGATACACCTCTTTTAATATTCTTCTTTGGCCTCGTTCTTGAAGTTTTCATCAATTATTTTTGCTTTAATTGCGCCTTTCTAAGAAGCCTTAAATAACCAACACACCTGCCGCCGCTCAGTAAAGCTAACAAAGTCCAACCCATTCCATAGAGGAACTGTAAAGACCCACATTAAATCGTAGACAGGTGTTTGCTTAAAGAAAAGTTAAACAATTTAAATTGTTGCCCGCTTGTCAGTTAATTTTGTGGTCGTCTGTGGGGTCTAGCCGTCGCCGGTGTCAGTCTGCTGCTCAGCTGACAGTCCAAAAGAGCAGTCAGCTGCCACGTGGCACCTGTATATGGCCAAAACACGAACTGGCTCCACACTAGCTGCTGATAAAGCATCAAATATCCATATATGAATGCCATATTCTTGACTGCAGTAACTGCAGTTAAGCAAATGACAATGGAACTGTGTCCCCCGCCTTAAGCTGATTTAAGCTAGAGGACAATTATGCTGGCTGCATGTTTATTTTGGCCCCTTGTCGTTTGGCTCTTGCAAGTTGTTGTAATTTTGGTTATAAAACAAACACAAATGACATTATTCGCACGAACAACAGGATGGCTGCGGCCGTAGTTGCTACTTCAACTGCAACTGCGGCAGCTGTTGCCGCACGACTTTCTTCTTTAGCTTCTTCGTAGCTGCAGCCACAAAAACAACAAAAACAACATTAACAATCAACTCGACATCGACGTCATGCGCAGGCACCTTTGTTGCGCATTAACTTCCGGAAATCACGTTGTTGCTTGTGATAATGTTTTTGGGTTTTTTCATTACTTTATTTTATTTTTTAAGGAACGGTACAATTCACAAAAAAAAAAGACGTGCACGCGAGCAAAATTACAAAGCAAACAAAAATTTGCAGTTGCCAAGTTTTTTGAATTATGCTGTTGATGTGGGCCAAAGAAACTGACCGATTGCTTGATGTACCTGTGTGATAAAAGAATGTTAAACAGTTTAAGAAAAATAATATTAAGCAGTATATTTTTATATTTTTTAAACGTTTATATATCTATAATACTTTTTCCATCGCTAGGTAACTTTGATCGCCTTTCACTTATCATGCAGCTTAGCCTCCAGTTAAATATTTGTAAAGAAATTATAATGCGGCGCAGGTCTGGAAGTGCTAAGCAATCATTCTACACAAATTTACTAGTTGATCAAGCAATAACTATCCAAATTGCAAAATATTCGCTTATCAAACCTTCTCTCGACTAGCTTTCAAATTATTTTAGGCGCTTCTTATTCAATTTAATGTACTCCAAACTAACATGAGCGGAATATAACAACCCAAGTTTAATAGGTAAATAATATACCTCTAAGATTAGAACCATCGAATTATTAAGCAAACAGTTCATAAAATTTACTAAGAGTCTGTTGCCAGTCAATAATTTAACAGCTAATGCGAATATAATTAATGGAGCAGACACAGTACAAATTGACGCCCAAATTAACTGGCAGTCAGCACTCCCCGTAACCTATAGCTAATGTCAGAGGCAATTGACTTGGGCGCAAATAGCTGAGTGCAGGCACCCAATGAACTTAAGAGTTGTCTGCAATTGCCAGACATTCTTGATTCATACGGCAGCCAAATGACCTTCTAAAGTGGCAATCAATTTTTTCTCTCTCTCTCTGTTTTATTTTTATGGTTTTTTGTCGTCTTCTTCTTTTTGGCCAGAAGAGTTAACCACGTGTTGCGACTGTGGGGCTGCGACGGTGTTGAAATGCGCGATGATCCAACGGCAAGTCGCTCGCTCGTTACCTTAACGGCAGTTGACCCCCAAGCGTTTGGAGAGTTAGCCACGTTTCCTTGGCGGGCCGAGCCCATTCATTTCTTTGGTTATCAAAAAACGCAGCCATGGCTGGCATCTCGGGCATTCCAACAATATGTTTTCTATATGCCTTATTTTCTGCACAAATCACTTGACCTTAAGCATTGTTGTAATTTATTTGTCGTTTCCCACACAAGCGACTATATATTTTTTTGTTGTTGTTAGAAACTCAAAGCTGTAACTGTATTACGACAATTTTTGGGTTACTCGAGCTCTGGGTCTCAGTTGGGCTCTTTTGTGGATTATTGTGCAACGATTCCCGTCTGCCATTGTTCCGGCCTGTGTGCAGCAGCAATTGGGCTTGGACTGCCGCTTATCAGCACTTGGCTGCACTCGGGGGCTGTACACCGAATGATATAATAGTCAGCGTAATTGAATGCCAGCAGCTATTAAAAAAGGCTTAAGCAGAAAAAAAATGTATATTGATCGGAAATTAGGAAAATATTCAAGTACTTGATAATTCTTGTAACAATAATCATTTTGTTACCATTTCCGTTGTGTTTACGTTTTGTTACAAACATCTTCCGGTTGTTAAAAAATCAATTGTCAATTATTGTTACAGAACATGACAAGGCTTTATAAGCTCCGTATAAATACCCTGTACTTAAAAGTAAATATAATATTATTATTATTCGATTTTCAAGAAAATTAATAGCTGGGAGAAGAATGCGTTAAAATATATGTAGGCATATAGTAAAGTACCCAAAACTTCCTGCAATAATTATAATTTATATATACCCTATGCCAATTCATTTTTATCAGCTTTTAGAGACTATACCAAGTTCATAGAGGCTATTGGGATATAAAGAAGTCTAGATGCGATCGACTGTTGATGTTAAACATGTATATTGTATATGCGATTTATAAAGTCGCCTGTTGCCTGTCAACTGTTACACTCTACTACCTCTTTGTCTGACTACAGGGTAGTTTTACCAACTTATATGCTACTCGGTAGTATCTTTAAAGATCCTAAACATAACTGTTAAATAACAGGCATTATGTAATCTGCTATGCTATAATCAAATTAAATTCCAATTGCCCTTAAAATGAATCCAAGTAACCAACCCCTCGCACCTTAGCTCAACTGTCTCAGATGCGCAGATTCCAACATGTAGTATAACACATCCGGACTAATGAAACGCCAGACGGCAACATCTTCATTAACAGCGCCGCCGACAATAATACGATATGTGAAGGCTTCCATTTCAACTGAAGGCCGGAGAGTAGACGGGGAAAGAAGGGCGCAGATGTGTTGACGCTTACAGGCGTTCAGTTAGAGAGCGCTGACAAATGGGCACGAAAAGGGTTTTCACGCTTTTTCAGCCTAGTGGGGAAGCGTTTTGGACATCAGCTAGTTTGGCCGGCTTGGGACGCCCATTTAAGTGTCCAATAATTCAATCACATCAAACGCCAGTCTAATGGCTCTCTAAAACGCCGTTAAAAGGCTGTCAATTACACCAATTTGTTCCAAAAGTTGAGAAAGTTGGAAAATGTTCAAATCGTACCGACAGTAGGCATTGCTTTTCATCGAAACGTAATATACGCTCGAGCTCTACACACAAATTATATACATTCATTCTACATGCTCAGCTCGAGCGAAACACAACTCTTTTGGTTTCAAAATTCTAAAAAAAAAACTTAAAATTAAATAGAAAATTAGTTAATTATAATTTTTAGATTTTTTATTGCACAAAATTTTTACTTCTAAAATTATATATGGAGGTTTTCTATAAATTTTAGTTCTTTTGGACTTGTTCAATTTTGGAAGAACAATACGCATTTTTCTCATTTATTTTCGGTTTCAAAATTTGTTTATACTCAAATTATTTTTGTGAAATACTTTTTTGGTCTTGCGACCGTTTAAATATAAAATTGTATTTTTGTTGCTGCTAATGAATAGTAAAAAACTAAATTCAAGTGATGTCGTGGAGCCCGTGACGATTGTCAGCTTCTGCAGGACTTTTCTGCATGAAGTGCTGATATTTCTGTTGTTCTTTTCGATATCGGCGGTGGTTTTCTTCGTGTTCTTCTCGGCGTTGAATAGTTTTGCCATGGCCCCAAATAAGCCACGACCCTTTAAATATTGTTTATGGCCCAAAGAATGGTGCAGTATTCTCAACAAGCAGCCCAAGCTGCATGAGCCGGAGTCACTCGCCATGCAGCAACAGCATATAGAACGGTCGCGGCCAAAATATGATCGTTTTTTGGGTGAGTAAAGATAAATATACTTTTTCGCGATATGTTCATCTTGCTATATTTTACAGATTACATGTTTAGAGCCACATAGCGGCACAATAATAAATACATAAAATATTCTGTACATATAATACATGGTTAACCGACAGCACCTTACTTGTCATTATGCACATATCGTATGTTCTCCACAACTGTGGCGTCACATAAGCGTTCCGAACTGTCGGGTCTTTCCTGATTAAGTTTGAAGTTAAATTATATATATGCCACCGGGCAAATGTCTCTCGTCAAGATTGAGACATAGTCCCGGGTCAGTATAAACAATATATGCATATATAATATATGCACTAACGGATACAATTCTCAAATATACATAAAAGTACGTAACCTCAACTATGAGATGAGCAGCACGCAACTCTCAAATGGCCATTATCAATACATGTGTTCTGACGCCCAGCTTTTCAATGCGTTTCGGTGGCAGTTAAGGTAAGTATAAATATACCATTTTTTTTTATTAATCTAAATTGAAAATCTACAGCTGCATCCCGATTCATTTCCAAAGATGTCTTCCAATATACAAAATCCACACCCCCTAACAAAAAAATAACTACAACTTGTTAATTATATATATACACATCCCCCATTCTCTCTGAACAAATAAGTAGCATTATATTTACCATAAATAAAATAAATAAATGATCATTGGTTATTTAAAAAATAAATTTTAATATATTTAAATTTACATCGGGTAATCTTGATATGGGCGATATATTAGAGATATTGACTTCCAGCACACTTTTTGTGCTAAGTAGGTTGGTTGGGAAAAATGAGATCCGCAAGTTCATATTTCATTACTTGGAATTTGTTCCTAATGAATGACATTAGGACAAAGCTCTCAACTAGCTGGCTCAAGCACATAACGACATGTATTGCATTTCGCCAGTACTGCAAGATATGCAATGATACACTTGGTAACAGCACGTTTCCAAAGCATGGAATGTTAGAAACTGTCTTGATATTCCAGTTAAGGAATGTACCGAATGACAAATGTAGGTAAACAAAATTAAGTGTCAGCTGTCAACATGTTTTCTTTTATATATAATTTAAACTTTTCGGCTTTAAATAAACAATTGAAAAGAAAATTTGAAATAAAATTGCTTATAGTTTTTAGATGTTTTCTTAGCTTACGCAAATGGAGTTGGACAAAAACAAGCTCGAGTCAAGTACTCGGCTGCTGTTCACAGTTGGCGGCTACTTGGACACACTGCTGAGTCACATACTCTGTTTCCTAGTACTGAGCGCAATAGCTTTGCTAGTTATCTTTACCGTTATCGTTGCCATGGACGATATAACCAAGCTAAGGGAAAGACAAAACTTGCGCTTGGAAAACAGTAGCGAGACGAAAACGCCCAGCGGTCGTTGTTATTGGCCCTCGGATTGGTGTCGCATTCTGTACAATTGCGACTGGAAAGAGCCAATGCGCAGGCAATCGACTTCCAAACCGAAACAGACCCAGCAACTAAAGCCAAACGTACCACCGTGCTCAGCAGAAGTGCTTAGTAAGTCTGAAATCATGAAGTTCCTGGTGCATCAACACCCACGAAAAGAGCTGGAGCAACAGCCGCCTGTCGCAAACGAATTGCTGTAGGTGGCTTTCGACTTGGAGAAACTGGGCACATCGTAAAAGAAAAGCTTTTTTATGGAACTATCATCGGCAACCCATCTAGTCACTCTTATTAAAATATTTAAACTAAGACCCCCTCAACATTTTATAAAGTGTTTCCTAATTCCAAACTATGAGACGAGCAACACGCAACTCTGAAATGGCGACTAGTATTATTGCATTACCTGACATTTGGCATTCGATTTTTTTTTTTATCTTGGCTTCATTGACAAAGGTAAGTCCTAACGGAATACAAATCGAAAAAATAAGTTAGCTAATTTCCTGACCATAGCTGAAGCTTTCTTTCTAGAAATTCAAGGAGCAATGACCATGGAATGTTTATAAGCAAGTCCAGAATCCGAACGCAAATTTTAAACAAATTGACAAATTTAACACGTGAAAATAGAAAAGTTTAGAGATCCCAATTAACTTTTTAATATATTTTTAATACTATGACAGCTTATATGGGATATACAATACATTGTACAAACGTACAATGTGCATAAACTAATACATACATAAACACGAGAAAGAAGGGCTATCTTCGGCACGCCGAAGATCTAATACCCTTGCAGACCCAATGCTCATAGTGCTTTGCCCGTATCTAAGAAGTACCGAGATAATAGTAAGTGCCGAGTTTGGTCAATATATCTTGATAACCAAAAAAGGTTTTTAATCCTGGTTTTCGACCGATCGTTCCTATGGCAGCTATATGATATAATGGTCCGATGTTGATAGGATTTTGTATACATATAACGAGCATAGTTAAACTAATAAATGCCGAGTTTGGTCAATATATCGTGAAAAAAACAAAAAATTGGTCTATACAACAGCTAAATTTTAAAAAAATGCCAAGTTTGGTCAAGATATCTTGAAAAATAACATGTATTTTCATACAACAACTTAATTTTCGACCGATCGTTCCTATGTCAGCTATATGATATAGTGGCCCGATCCAGCTTGTTTTGAGAGACTAGTTCGCATAGAAACAGACAGACGGACAGACGGTTTAACGGGCATGGCTATATCGGCTCGGCTGTTGATGCTGAACAAGAATATATAGACTTTATGGGGTCGGAGATGTCTCCTATTTTTTTTTTTTTTGTTTGTAAATTTTGTTTCCAGATCTGGTATCCTGTTACTCTATTTACTTTTATCAGAGTGACGCAATTACTTAACTTAACGAAAATTGTGAATTCACAATTAGTTTAACAAATTAGACATATATACATATATTTACAGGGACATGTTTGGGGGTATTTTTTGCAGTTTTTGACCTATATATATCGATCGACTAGGTCAGCTGGGTAGGTCCTCTTCAGTCGCCTTTTTCTTCGCCTCCTTAGCAGGTTCCTTGCCAGGAAGTTAGGATGGTTGTGGAGCTTTGTTGAGTAGCTCGCCGCTTGCCTGTTGACTACCTCGCCCACCATTGATACCCTGAGGTCCTTTGCGATGTCACGTGTGCAAATAAACCATTCGGCTCTAGTAATTTTGCGCTAAGTTTTGGCCTGAATGATGCGAATTTTGTTCAGGTGTGTTTTTACAGCTATACCATAGACTTGGAGACCAGTACTTTGAGATGAGTACTTTGTTGTTGGAGTTGAGGAGCCAGCTCATTCGTCTTATCTTGGATTTGATGCTGCTTGTTACTGCAGAGACGTGCTTACTAAATGTAAGTCGTCTGTCGAGAGTGACCTAGGTATTTGTGTTGACTGTATTGCTCTAGAAGTTCACCATGAAGAAAAAGTCCGGGGCAAGAGTGTGAGTAACAGTGGCGCATTTTCCAGGGTTCACTGCGATGTTCCATCTAAAAGCCCAATTTTCAAATCGTTTGAGGTACTCCTGCAGGAGGTCAGTTGCCGCGTACACACATTTCTTCATAGCAAGGATTGCCGTGTCGTCAGCAAACGTGGCCACCAGAAGGTCCTGCCGATCATTTCTTGTGCTTGCATTTGCAGTGGGCATATCATGTGTAAACAGGCTATATATAGCGTGGGACCCAAAACGCTGCCTTGTGGAACTCCCGCTTTTATGCGTTTTTTTTCTACGACATCCTGTTCCACTTGAAAGGTCTCTCAGTTAGGAAGCTCGCAATGATGTTAAATAGCTGTGGATTTAATTTATCCTTGATTTTGGAGAGAAGACCTGCGTGCCACACCCGGTCGAAAGCTTGCTGAATGTCGAGATATGCTGCCACCGCATACTCCATTCTGTGGAAACCATCTAGCATTAAGTTAACTACCCGATGGAGTTGCTCAGGTGTTCCGTGCCTGAGTCGGAATCCAAACTGAAAATTTGGGATTGCATGTCTTTTCTCCGAACTTTCAAGTATCCTTCTAAGAAAGCAGCGCGTTTAAAATCGCCTACGAAACGCTCGCTCGCGTATCTTTTTATACCCTTGCAGAGGGGTGTTATAATTTTATCGTGAAACGTGTAACGCATAGAAGGAGACATCTCCGATTCTTTATCAGCATCAACAGTCGAGTCGATATAGCCATGTCCGTCTGTCTGTTTCTATGCGAACTTGTCCCTCAGTTTTAAAGCTATCTTTATGAAACTTTGCAGAACTCCCTATTTCTGTTGCACGCAGCACATTTGTCAAAATCAGCTGGATCGGACCACTATATCATATAGCTGCCATACGAACGATCGGTCGAAAATTAAGTTGTTGTTTACAAAAACATGTTGTTTTTCAAGATATCTTGACCAAACTCGACATTTATTAGTTTTACTATGCTCTTCATATAAATGCAAAATCCTATTAAGATCGGTACACTATATCTATGTCTGCCATAGGAACGATTGGCCGACAACTTGGTTTTTGATTAAAATCCTTTTTGTTTATCAAGATATCTAGACCAAACTCGGCATTAACTATTTAGATACGGGCAAAGCACTATAAGCATTATGAAAAGGTTGGGTCTGCAAGGGTAGTAGATCTTCGGCGTGCCATGGGTAGCCTTTCTTTCTCGTTTTTATTCGGTTTTAAGTATGGGGATCATGTTTCCCAGCATAATATCTGGGTTGATCACTCTTCTCATGTCGGCATCCGTTTAATAGACAAGCCACACTTTACTGATCATTGAATTAGTTTGACAAAAGTAGATCCGCTAATAACAGCCACTAATTTTGTGGCTTCTTTGCCATCCACCTAGCTGCAATCTGGAAACTTCCCTCTAATCGCTTCTTCTGGCTTAATTGAAACGTTTCCTTATTATTCAAAGATAAATGGATTTCTTTCGGCATTTGGAAAATATAGTATAATATTATATATTAAGCTTGTGTATAAACAATTAAATTAAATTCAAATTTAAAACGGAACTGTTTTTGGCAAGCCGTCACGATTGCCTTATTTTAAATACTAAAACAGTAAGCGACTATCCCCAATCTCAGAATACTCGGAGAGTGGTTCAAGAGGCAATCTAAAATCTTAGATGCTGGCTTGATAGACGTCTTGAGCAAACAAAGCTGAACATTTTTGGGCAAGCAGAAGTTGCGCATGCGCATAATGAGTTAATTGAGGTATTGAAAAAGAAAAACATGAGACGATGCGCACACACACACAGCTACTACAACTATCAATCCAAATGAAATGAAGTGCATAATGCAGTTAGCCACAAAAAACAACAACAACTATGCAATGCAATGCAATTACAATACCAGGTAGCTGCCGCTGCTGTTGAAGGGCAACGCTAAGAGACAACTTTGTTGTTGTTGCCTCGCATTTGACTTGGCCAAAATCGTGGGCGTTGCTGCAATCGACAATGGATTTTGGGGGTCCTAAGGTCTTGTCGTTGCGGCTGTTGTTTCAATTTGCTGATAACTACAGCTGTATGTATAATTATTTCGCTTCGGCATAAAGTCACAACATTTGCATAGACCAGCAGCTGACGGTAAGAACGCGAGAAGCGTACCTAGTCAAAGCAAGCTATACAATTGCATAATTGCAGCCAAAAAACAGGCTACGTCCGACTAACAGATACCCTGCATTCAGAAACCATCAAATTTTTCTTGTACGCCAAATACAGCTAAGCACAAATTTAAACTGATGCTGAGAACAGATCACACTACTATATATTATTTTTATTTATTTAAGCAATGGATGGAATGACATTTATTCAGTTTTATGATTTTTTAAAATCGTTTACAGACAAATTGTGATTGATTTTAACCTAAGTTTATTTTTCCTTAGCTTAAAGATATTATATGTAAATCAAATTTAACAAGAACATAAAATCAAGCACTCAGCATTCCGATTAACAAATTTTCGCGGTTAATAGAGTCGGGTTATGTAGGTTAAAAAACTTTAAACTTCAGATATTGGAATAGGCTTAATCAAAATCCAAAGTATCTGCTTACTTTAATCTGCGTTAGATCAACGACAGTTGATTTACTTTATCTACCTGCTATAGATTCGTATATTGTTGGCTTCATAAATCATTGCATAGATGATGCTTAGGCACAAAGTTAATTGCTGACTGTTGCTACCCTTCTAACAAGGTAAGAATTATCTTTGCAATTACAGTGTATAACAAGCATATATTTTCGGCATTTGTTTTGCCTCTTGCCATTGACAACGGGGCGTTTGTCTATTATCATAAAATTTAATTAAAATAATCAGTGGTTATAGCGCTCACACAACGACCAATTCATAATTTAAACAAGTAAGAGGTTCTGGTCGGAAGCTCCCGACTAGGGGATACCCTGAACCCTCTTCTTCCAACATCAAATGCATATATATATTCTATTTTAGAAGCTATATGTCAAGTTTGGTGACTCTAGCTCTTATTATTTACCAAAATTGCCCAAAAACAGGATATCGATATCGATTTTTATCGATTGCTTGGAAACGGAGTAAGTTATCGACTATCGGAAACAAACTCGATCTGCGCAGGCAGAGAAGGAGGAGCACCTACATCTTAAATTTCAAGTCTCTAGCTCTTATAGGTTCTGAGATCCTTGCGTTCATACATACGGACAAACGGACGGACTGACGGACGGACAGACGAACAGACATACAGATAGTCTGACGGACATGGCTAGATCGACTCGGCTATTGGTGCTGATATATATACTTTATGGTGTCGGAGATGCTTCCTTCGGCCTGTTACATACATTTGCATTTTGCACAAATACTATATACCCTTTTACATATTTTCAATGGGTTCAGGGTATAAAAAAATGATTGTGAGAGTAATTTCGAAATATCCAGCAGCATCTTAGAATCAAATTCGGCGGTCAGGCTGAGCCTCAATTTTAATGGCATCCCAACACGAAATGGAACGTGCAGCATGGAGTGTTTTTTTCTAGCTGTAATTCTTGATCAATGATTTTGAATATTTATGAGGCGCACTTAATTAGGCGGCTATAACAATATTATGACTATATTTATGCATGACATTTTCCAATGCTGATG